ATTAGATTTGCGCTTTTCAGAAGCATTTAAAATATGAAGATAAAATAAGAAGATTAAAAGTATTTGCACTACGATTGCTACTTCGATTAATTAGTTAAAGTACCTTCAGTGATAGATGGGTATAATAGGTATAATGACTTCGAGTGACTGCATCGAAGACGGGCACTTCTCACTGCTGTGCTAGACTAATTTGCATGAATGTTCGATAATCCAACTCGTTTAATGCTGATTGAATCAATTCACGCCGAAATGAGATTAGGAACGAGCTAAAGCGCAGAACAATGCTCGTTTTATAGCAGTTTAGGTCAATTTATTCCGATAAGAGCATGATGTTGAACTGGATAAACTCATACCGGTGTCACTAATGAGCTTAGTAACTAAAATTCTAACTTAAATGTCATCACGCAACATGAGGACAAATTTATGCTCGTGGTCACAGCAGGATTAAACGTTAAAGTTTGCATAGATTGAATAATATTCTCCGTAACTCCCAATAAACATCCCCGCCACGTCTCGTTATCATTACTTATGAGCGCACGGCGGTAATTGGGCTCAGCCTTGCAGTGCGTGTGCAGTTTGTGTGCCCAGCAAGCCAGCGCTGGCTGGCAGAAATGCCGGAGAATTAACCCTCTACCGCCGTATGGCAGTGTCCGGAAACATACAATAATTACTCGTAAACTATTGTGTGTAGCAACCTGAAGACGTATGTACGCCACAGAGAACATTTTAAAGTTGTACGTGGCGGCAACCATCAGTGCAAATCATTTTGCGCTCACTAGAACGTATCCCTTTCGGGAAGCAGGCGCGAGACAATATTGCTCTGTTGCTCGTGTCAGGCGGTAGAGGGAAGTAGCGTCTGCCTGCGGCGCGGATACAGCGAGACTTGATGCATGTCGGGGGCCTGGAGAAGATCTGAGTTGAACTAATGCCGTCCTGGGGCCTTACTATTTAAACTCGCTCTAGTGCACGTGGAGTCGTAAGTACACGTGGAGTCCCAAGTACACCTAGCGGCCTATTTTTATTAAGTGAATGGTGGGTATAACATGAAACTGAGGACGGAGTACAAATAACTTTTTTGATATTACGGCCTGTGAAAATTTGATAAAATTGCGCAAAAATATTATGTACAGTCGAAATAATTTTTTTACCTTTTCATAGAGGTGTGATATTGTACGAGTATAGTTCTTGGATCAAACGTTATTCTATTGTTAGGCATTAGGATTTTATTAAATAAGTGTATTGCCAATTTAGAATTGAGCAGTGTTTTAATCAGCGAATTTTAAAAATGTTTTATGGAGTATTAAAACAGTGGGCAGAGATTAATAAGGGTAAGAAAATGTAGCAGTAAGAACGTGGGTGAACATGTACTACGTGTCTCATTAATGCAGAAAGGCTGTATAAATGTGCTTTATGTACAATAAAGTATTTTCATATTACTGTTGGTTTCGCCTGGTAACAGAACCTGCCACTATACCCACGACAATATGAAAAAATTTCTTGGATCATATAAGAGTTGAATGAAATTTTGTTTAATTACAGCAGTCTCACTGCAACTAGTAATTTGTAATGTTTTAACCGAAATTACTACTGCAATGATGAATTTCGAAATCTATGAAATCGAGTCTATTGACATTTTTATGGAATATCAATAGCCACATGAATATTTTCCGAGACAATAACGATATTACTTCACAAAATCTTGACTCAATATTTTGCCGTAGCCTCACTCTGGGAGAGTACCTCATGCAGGCACTGCGCTTATTTATTATTATGTTACGAAATTATTATTATAATAATTATAAAAATATGCTGTTCGTATCATATTTATTTAAGCGTTAGTTATGAGATGATCTCGATTAATGTGGATAATATAAATTGGTTATGATGTGATTATATGTAATTACATTATTTGTTTTTAATTATATGAATTTGTTGTGATGAGTTAACAATGAAACCCACGTGACCCACTACGTGACCCACTTCACGTATGTTACATGTTATGCGTGCTGTTGCAGTGACCCACCTGGTGGGGCATGACCCACTTCACGTATGTTGCATGTTATGCGTGCTGTTGCAGTGATAGCCTTCATCACGGTCAGTAGCCTTCATCACGGTTTTTTTAAGTCCTAAACCTTGAAAAGATTTATTCTCATTTCAATTTTTTTAACTTATTCATTTTTTTCAAATTAGTCGTTTTTATTTTCGTATATCAGTTATAGGAATTTCTGTTGCTATAGTGAATTGGTGTTTTTATTGATATACAGTGATATTTCGAAATCACGAACGCCCCGAACTAATTTTCGGAACCGATTAAGTGCTTACGAACAGATTCTGTTCTATATTTGATTCAAATTGTGTTCATTAATATTAAAAGTGAATATTGTTTCCACATATGCGCGCATTTCTTCATGCAAAGCCATAGCGAACGTATTAAGTTCATAAGTATCAATGTAATAGAAATTTAATCTAAAATTAAATTTAAGTCTTATAATATTCATAATGGCAATGCATTATATTATTAATAAGTAATTAAATACTCAAGATTGCGTGACTGAAATCGATCGTTCATAGACGAATAGTCTGGAAACATGCACTGGCAAAAGTTTATTACCAGGACAAATATCAAATTATGTCCTTAACTTGAGGTAAATTCGTTAAAAAGAAGTAATTCGATTATCACATTTAAAACCCCGACGCGATGCACAAGTCTACAGCTTCACGAGCGTTGCAAAAAATGTCATGAATATTCCATGAATATATTACAGTGTGGGAGGCCTTATTAAAAAAAAAATATTACAGTATGTACTTGGAAGTCACTTCAAACGAGCTATAGATTCTTTGGTTTCTTGTGCGTCTGGGAGAATTGGCCATCTTTAACTTAAGGAGTTGATAAAGCTTTATTATTGCTGTGCTTCAAACCGGCCTTCATGATCTTCGCTTATTGCTTCCTATACATTCGTCTAACGCGACACTTTAGCGCGTATAGTGATAGCCTCAAGTTGTGATGCGTGCGTATAGTGATAGCCTCAAGTTGTGATGCGCGCGTATAGTGATAGCCTCAAGTTGTGATGCGCGCGTATAGTGATAGCCTCAAGCTGTGATGCCTCTTCCTACATCTTTGTGAAAGCCAGAGTATATTTCTTGAATATTTTAAGCAAGAAAGAGACCGCTTTTTTGAATACGCTTCTAAATGAGCTCCTTTTGTCTTCAAAAAATGTTTTTCCTTCAGTTCTTCATATGACATACTTCTAAAAAAATTTTTTTAATATCATTCTCCTGACTTGGTAATATTTCCTGTCTGAAAATTTGTTCTTCCTTTATTGTCGATGAATATCATTTTCGTTCCCGAACAAGATTGGAAATAGATAAAAATAAAAAACTTAAAAAAACTTTAAAAAAACACGTTTTTCTTGTGGACTAAAAAGTAGAAAATAAATTATGGCTCGCCACAAAAAACTTGTGTCGGGCAGATTTAAGATTGAAGCGAAAAGCACACAACACACGAATTTTGGAAATTTGATGGTGAAGGTACAGCCCGACCCACGTTTTTTGGGGCGAGCCATAATTTGTTTTATGCGTATAGTGATAGCCTCAAGTTGAGATGCGTGCGTACAGTGATAGCCTCAAGTTGTGATGCGCGCGTATAGTGATAGCCTCAAGTTGTGATGCACACGTATAGTGATAGCCTCAAGTTGTGATGCCTCTTCCTATAAGACTCTGTGAAAACCGGAGTATATTTTTTAATATTTTAAGAAAGAAAGAGACCGTCTATATATGACCGTATTGAACATGCTTCTCGTATGAGATCCTTTTCTCTTACAAAATTGTTTTTTTTTTTCAGTTCTTTGTGTGGCATGCTTACGTCTAACTAATTTTTTTAATGTCATACTCCTGACTTGGTAATATTTCCTGTCTGAAAATTTGTTCTTCCTTTATTGTCGATGATATCATTTTCGTTCCCGAACAAGATTGGAAGTAGATAAAAATAACCCTTCGCTCAAGAATATCATTGAAGATTACTCGATTGGTATAAGTTCGATTCAAAATTCTTTTCTGTTCTTAATTATTTTTCTACAACTCCTTGTTGCGTTGCATTATCTTCTATTTCCATAAATATAAGATGCAGTCCTGTTCCTTTTTTATAATTCATGCGGGAGCTAAAATGCGATCAAAACGTTCAATGTCGAGAACGCTGGAGATCGAACGCTCTATTACATTGATTATCTCATGAGAAATTATTTAACGAGTGAAATTAATTTTTTGAGCCGAACGTTGTCTTTTCATGAAGATTTATTTTCCTGCAACGGCAATAAAATTTTCTTTCTGCTGTAGAGCGCGTTTCTGAGAGCTAAAATTTTCAATTTAAATTAAGCTACGTGAATCAAAAGATTGCAATGTTTTTGAGACCAGTAAATTTTAAATTATTTATAATTATAACCGCTCGAATGCCAGCAAACATAATTTTTCCTTCCGCTACGTGAACACAACAACTGTCAGTGATGTTAGAGTAGGAGGATATTTTACATAAGTGAAAAAATTATGACATTATTTTACGTTCTCGTTTCCTCTTTAATTTTATTAAATGCGGTAATTAAAAAATACTTTATATGCATAAAAATTGATCATTCAAATTTTTTAAATAGAAGTTCCTGCCTCCTCAGAATCGATTCATTGGCACAATCTCATTTTAGTCTCAATTTAAAGTCATCAAAACTTGTGTTCGTAAATAAGCTATCATATTCCTACGAGCAGAATCAGAAGTGCGATATTCGCTGCTGGACTGGAAGCAGCGCTACTGGTATCTCAATTTAGTCTCATTTTTAAGTTCACCATAACATTTGTTCGTAAATAAGACATCATATTCCTACGAGCAGAATCAGAAGTGCGGTATTCGCTGCTGGACTGGAAGCAGCGCTACTGGTTCACATCTCAATTTAGTCTCATTTTTAAGTTCACCATAACATTTGTTCGTAAATAAGACATCATATTCCTACGAGCAGAATCAGAAGTGCGGTATTCGCTGCTGGACTGGAAGCAGCGCTACTGGTTCACGGTGCAGCCGCACACCGGCGTTGTGGCGATAGTGTCGCCTCTCGACAGAGAAACTACAGCACACGTGAGTTGGAGACCAAATAATACATGTGCTATGTGTACTGAGATTGAAGCACTACCGAATTCATTGAATTCATTTGTGTAATAATGTAATTTGTTCTGTATTGCGGTTGCGATTTTTGAACAGTTCACCGTGCTGTCTTATCTTATCAATTTATTGTAGTAAATAAAAAGTTCTCAGTTCTCGTTTTATGTAATTTGTTCATAGATAGCAAGGCTTCTAAGATGTCTTCAGTCGCCCCACCTGTATTTTTCGGTTTAGATGTTTTACTTCTCATTTCTTCGTTCCCAACCAGTTAGTCGCGCTTAACGCTTTTAGAAGCACCAATTCATAATAATTAATCTAGTCACGTGTATGTATAGCCAATCCAAACGCTGGACGAAATTTATGTCTAGATGAACGAGCGGTGGTTTTTTAATGTCGATCCGCAGCTCGAAATTCGCATCGTAGCTTGCCACTTGTCAGCTATGATGCATTATTATGATCGCAAGTTTATCGTTGACTATACAAGTGCCGTGGTATTGACGTTCGGTGTGAAGGCGACTTGCATGGGTATTATGAAATCAACGAAGGAATGCTTTGGTCAATAAACAATTTAGTTAGGGTGCAATCTTGCGCCTGAAGTAACAGGCTTCGCTTAGTGGTCATTTATTGCTAACGGCCTTTACTGAGCATTGGTCCTGAGGGGTGGATTATAAGAGTAAATCAGCTGCCTGTTGCGTTCCATTCAATGTCATGGTGATGTGTCGTGTAAGATTCTTTGGTCGTCAAGTGAATAGTTTGGATGAATTTCGGGCAGCCTTCAGACACTGAATTGCAATCAATGAATGGATTAAGATCTGATTTCCTAGTTTCAAATGGTTGGTACATTATAGCCATTGATTATTTGATAGCCGTGATTCGGAGGACGTTACGTAATTTGTAAGACTATAGCCAGAACTGAGAAGTGCTTATTCAATGGCGTTGATAGATGTGTTCAGTGATACAATTGCATATGCAACTGATTGAACATATATTCGTTGACACCAATCGTGTAATTATCATAATCTCCGCTAATGTAATATTGTAACGAGGGAATGTTTAAGTGGTGGCTGAAGACCGTAAAGGATTTCCGAATACATATCCAATCATATCTAGTTTCGTTCATATCGTTCATTGCATTATTATTCGTTCAATAATATGGGAACGATTACAGTGACAGATTAAATGCATATTCAGCTACGACTCGGTTTAAAGATGGCGCTCACCCGTAAACTGGATTAAGCTCCAACCTGTCACTAGCTGTTTGATGGGCGAATTTTGGTCCTTTCTCTGTCTGATGTTCTTATGAGTTCAGTCGACGCTGTGATTCCGATTTGTGCTTAAAGTTTTACGCGAGTTTTTATGGTACATGTTCCAGGAGTCTAGTAATTATGGTCTCTGTAAAGCAAGGATCAGATATACTGGGAAGGTCCGTAATCCTGGAAATATTCCTTTATCTATATCTTATTTATAAATCAAACTCAAACAATCAAACAATATAAATCAAACTCGTTTTAGTATTTTTTTTTCATGAGAGAGTTAGGAAAGGTTGTAAATTACTAACCGATATATATCAACTTACTAATAACACGTTTATTCGAGCTTGTTTTATGTCAATAGTTAGATTGTAACGCAGTTTGGGCCCAAAAATAGTATTTTGAACATAGAGGATAATTATACTGAGAAGTAAGGGCTCCAATAAATATTTAAGTACTTCTGTGGCTACGGTTGACTGGATCAATTCAACGCACTTTTTATTTTCTTAGTTCATGACTCTCATCGCTCAGGCTCAATTCTTCCTGCAGCTCAGTTTGTACCTGGAACCGTCGTCCATAATTGTGGGTTGTACCAGGGTTGGCAGATGGTCTTTTTTTTCGGACAAATTTTGCGCATTAGTTTTTACCTCATTTTTTCTCTTATGGAAAAAATGCACTTTTGCGCTTGTCATGTCCGTCCGTCTGTCCGTCCGTGACTTCACGTTATCGTCGACGAGAAAATGCGCACTCTGTCACTCAATGCAGTGAGTACTGAGTTATATTTTTTTAATTGCGTTGGCCGGCTAAAATTCATGATGGTGGTACTTCCTTATTAAACTTTAAAAAGTGCGAAGGTAAGGAAAATGAATTTTTACAAAGGAAGCTACAAATATACTAATATAAATTGAGTTATAGGCCATTTTTGGTCTATTTTGTTTGCGGACTTGGCCGTTTTTCAGGTCATCTGGCAACCCTGCATGGGCTGTGCAACAGCAACTCTTTCGGCTGTCCGCTGTCCGCCATAGCGCGCCTCTGTTGCTTACCAACGGCGCATTTTCTAACTAAGTATTGAACTTGATTTTTATTTTTATCGAACTGCAATAGCTCGAAAAGTGTATTAAACGGTATAATTAGCACAGAGTTAATGATATGTGCTTTACGGGTTATTTTCGACGGAAAAACCGTGTTTAGATAATGAAAAATTATAGATCAATAATTATTTTTCAAATTTGAGAAATACTAACTAAAATACTGTAATTTTTCCTTTAGGTATTGGTTAATTAAATCGAGGTTTTATGTGAAAATTCTTCGATTATCGCACGCAGTGTCTCTTTTATTATCATTTAATTCGCAAAATTAATCCTTTTGATAGCAATCAACATTATATTAACTTTGGGTCAATTACCTCCTAATTTCAAGCTAATCTTTCCAACGCAAACGTCAATCTTGTTCACGAATCGAATTTGATTTACGTTCCAGATGTGTGATACGTGGAAAATAATCATAAAGGCTTTTAAACCATCACCGTAAACCCCAATGTCTTTTCGGACCTCGGTTTTGAGTCGTGATTATTTATGCATCGCGCATTCTACATCCATAAAATACCAATAATATGAAGCCAACGTCATCCAGAGCTATTCAAACTAGTCCTTTATTGGATGCGCTTATAGTGATGCCATTAAAAAAGGTAAGCCTGCATTACAGATCGCGCTGTGTCAATGCCATGTTTTGTAGCACTGGCATTAGTGTTTTTTTTATTTTGATTGCAAATCTGCACAAATATTCTCAACCTAATGGAAACAGCTCGGTTATCCAGCCAGCAAGTCTTCTAATAAACGACATTCGAAAGGAAAGCTGCTATTGGAGGAATAAGCGTGAACGGAGGAATGGAACGTTCTTTCAGTGCTGTGCGCCATAAACAGCAGGACTCGATCACCCACACTTAACCCTTTGTAACCTTTAAGCAACTCGTGTCACCAAACATTTCGGTGGTGATAGCATAGCCGATATTTAATTAATGTATCGATAAAGTATCAATTCCTTCCATACACAACCTCTAACTGTGATGCAGTGATAAGCTAAAAACATATCACTGCAGTTCCGAATCCAAACGATATTATCATACGAGATCATTGAATCTGCGATGATCAATATTGTTCTCACATTTCTATTTATTCTTTTGATTTTCTTGACGTCACTGTCATTAAAAGATATTCTTGATCGGATCCTTGCTACAATATTCATTAAATATTTCAAGCTGAACTCGGAGCCGCTATGTGGTTTTGATGCAATACTTATCAGGCTTCGAAACTTCGGCCTTTGAGTCTCCGAGCTTTTTCCTGTGCGTATCCGCTGGAGACGTCCAGTCTAGATTGGCCTCAACTCCACGACCCACTGTCGGTGCAATTAATCTGGAGACCATTGCCCTACAGACGAGTTTTTCTGCCTTGCAAATGCGGAAACACTCATTGATAATGGCGCTGTGAGTCAGCATTTTCTTGCTCGTCTACTCCTTGAGGTTTTTTTTCGGGCCCTAACTTCTATAAGTGATCGTTTTTTTCGGAATGGAGGAAACCAAAATTTTAAAAGCCACGAGCAAACCGCCCGTTTGCTGGTACAAATGGACCCATTTCGCCCAAACTTTGAGAATTCTTTTTGAAAAAAGTATTTGGTCCCGGAAACATAAGTGTAGATTGTTCCTTCCTCCTAAAGAACTATTCCAGCGCAAACTTCTGGGAAAGTTAACGCATGATCGATTGATGCAGGCGATTGATGCCCGTAACTCTACTCCAATCCCACATCCTTCCATATCTCTGCTATAAACAATAAATGTTTTCCTACAATCTTACCCTCTTTCTATTTTTAATAGAAAAAGGGTAATATTTAATGTTCTAACCCTCTCCTTCTCTTTTTCGCCTTCATTAATTTTATGTCGGATGTATTCGAGACACAAGTCCGGCAATGAATCCTGCGTCATATTAGGACTCCACTGCTCATCACTAACTTTTAAAATTGTTGTTAAAAATTCTGAGGCTCTTCTCTTCCGTCACTAATGCCTCTTCTATTCTCCACCCATGCCTATTCTCTGCTCTTCTAGCATTGCAGGATCTTCTCAATTAATCTAATCCTTCACAAATCGCTCAAGGCGCCAGAGATCTTACCCGTCCTGACAGGTCCTCTGAGACGCAGATCCCCTCTCATGAATGTAATCATGCCTGCGCCGTGTCATCGTATGGCGCTAATCATGCCTGCGCCGTGTCATCGTATGGCGCTAATCATGCCTGCGCCGTGTCANGTCACCAATAACGCATCTTCTTATTATCCTCTCTTTTCAGTGATCAGTATTCCCGTACACCAATACTTGAATGTGCCCGCATTACTGTCACCAATAACGCATCTTCTTATTATCCTCTCTTCTCAGTGATCAGTATTCCCGTACACCAATACTTGAATGTGCCCGCATTACTGTCACCAATAACGCATATTCTTATTATTGACGTCACAGCTGACGGTGCCGCTGGAGGCGCGTACGTCTCAGGGCAGCGCAGAAGCGACGTTGTACGTCACCGTCGAAGACGTCAACGAGTTTTCGCCGCGTTTTGCCAACGACGTTTATCAGACGCAGATTACTGAGGAAGACGACAGACACCTGCCCAAGCCGGTCATACAGGTGCGTCGTGCTGATCTATGCACATTATTTATATTGTGGTATTGTTGTTAAGACTCTTGTAGTCATTGTGAGTTGTAATAGTGCTTCAGAATTTGTGTTCAAATTACACTATTTCAACAATATAGTTCTATTAGGTCCATGGTCCATAGAATATGTAGCTGAAAGTAGGAAGAAAGTCTGAAATGCAGCTATAATAAATAGGTAATAATAGGTAATACACGAAATTGCTCTAACAGCAAAAAGTCAGAATGAAGTAGGTTGGGTTGTTACCGTGCCGAAATATTGTGTGTTTTGTTGCCAGGGATACAGACAGCTGAAGATTGCCTTCAACATGGCTAGGTTATACGACAGGTGCAAGCCGCATCGGGCATCTGTGGAGCATGAGATGTGCAGTTGTTCTGAAATTTTAACCAAAATAGAGTTATGGAGAAAAAATATATATTTAACAAAGATTTTCTCTCGGAATCTAGACAAGCATTGTAAAAATGCGACACTCACTTCGAATTGTAAGTTCGGCGAAACAATTCATAACAAAAAATGTTTCTGGAATTTAACCCTTCACCTTAATCAGTGTAGGGTTAAAAAAATCATAGCCAAAGTGATCTAGCGCTTATAGAACGTTCAAAAAGCGTTAATTATTAAAACTTTTGTTTACTAACAACACATGATTTGTTCTTCCATATGTTTTTGAACACGCCGTTTCACTTCTCTTCGGAATGCAACATTGCCGTATGCTTCAAAATTATCATACACGAAAATTCGGAACAATAACATTGAGCTCTGATTGTTTATCATGGTGGTTTTGTGCCGACTCCTTAGAACTTCTTTAAAGTTCAACTATTGCTATTTCTTAATGAAGAAATAAACGCGGAATCCATCAACGCGCTCGTAGACCCGTGCTCGTAATCTCCAGGGATTACGAAAAGTGCGAGTTTGTCTCGCGCAGTTCATCCTGCAGGCCTTCACAGCGCGAGCCCTCGACGGCGTCTCTGCCGTCTTCGGCTGCCGTCTTCATTGCAATTAGGATTTCTGTCCGTATTTTTTGGCTGCACTCGAAACGCTGCCGTATTCGGTTCTTAGCTTTGGCTGACTCAAGGCTGATTCCTGTTGTGTAAACTAAATATAGTTTAATGCTTACGCCAATCTTTTATAATGATAAGTTTCCTAATGGCTTTTTATTGACCGACATTCTGCTGTCGTTCTATGTTTTCTAACATTTTTTTTGCACTCCGACCCGTCATTTAAAAGAAAATTTCTGCTACCTCTTTTTTCCTTGGACGAGCCTCACCATTCTTTATTGTATACATTTAACCTGGTTTGAGAATTTGAGTTCAATTTAATAACCTAATTTTTTTAATAAGCTTGCATTTATTTGTTAATGGCCGCCCTCATGGTGTCATCCGTATGCGGACTCCAATATTTGATGAATTAACATTTTCCACTCACAAGATGACTTCATTCAACAAAATCCAAGTGCATAAAAGCCTGAAATGTTGCAGGATCCGTCGCAATACCTGCTTGACTACTCCATCTTGATTATATTTACTTGCAACTGTTGATTCATTGAAGAAAATCCTTGGCCTTGAAAAGTTTATTAAAGTCTTAAAGAACGATCACGTGCTATGTGTCGGGGAGACGTTAGTTTAATAAGAGATAGTCCCCCAACAATATGAGCGTACTGTTGGATTTTTTTTCGTATATTGAAGCTATAGGAACTCACAGTTTCAGGAAACTCGAACATAATGAGGCTATGAATTTTATATGCCGTGTAAATTCCAGCGCAGTTGACAGTGTCGTTCCGATAGTCTCTTAGTTGGAGAGAGTTGTGAGGAAACATGCTCACCTATTTGTTCACAAGTTAACTTTGGTGAAATTGTATCAGGGTTTAAATTATCTACAAATTAGCTTAGTAGCTATTGGTACTCGACCATGGAAAAATACTCTGATTGTTTTATAATTCATTCTTTGAACAAACTAAATACCATGTTTACATCTTCTGTTACTGAATAAGGTCCACTGTTGCATGGTTTTTTCCACTGACTAGATAATTTTCATCATATGCAATACTCGTAAATTTCTTAAGCCGGCATCTGTGAAGTAATTAATATTTTAATAAATTGATGTACTCATGCAGTGTTTTGCAATCTTGAACTTCATCTAATCGTGGTCTACAATCAAAGAATTTCTCTCCAATTTGTTTTCTTCGTATTAGAATTCGATTCATGTTTTAGGTTTTCATTAGCTTCTAAGCGATATTTGAGGTGATAATTATTTATCATTCTGCCAATAATACGCCGGTAGCTGGAAACTTCTGTCCAGTTCATTCCTCTCGCTATGCCAAGTCCTGATTAATTTTTTCGTACTACTAGACTCGTATTACTTTTTATTAAGACGTGACACAGATTTAAAGGAGCACTGTTCAATCTTTGCCTCCTGTGCTAATATAAAATTTCAGGTATCGAAAATTTTTAAGTTAGATTTTATGTTGTTCGTTAGCAAAACACTTATCCGATATCGCTAATTTAGCACGAATTTAATGCACATTTGGTAGTGGCAGAGGAGAGAGCGTTAAAAATGGTAGAAAAGCAATATGATGCAGACCAAAGAATTTTCAGCACATTGTGAGTTTCGTGCTTGATTTTTTAAGATGGAATACAAGACTAGTCCACGGATGATCATCGAAACATTACAATAGCTTCATTGGCATATTTCTGCGGACCCTAAGCTAATTATGTGACAAACTCAAAAAATTTTTCTCGAGAGCTCAAGATGTTTCTTAGTGGAGTTACAGATATTTCTGTGTAGTGAAAAGGCCAATGAAATATTGTATGCCTCGCACGCTGGATTAACGCTTACAATGCGCAGTGTATTGTATCATAATTTGTGTCGCTGTCGGCGATGAGCCTGAAAAACCGTACGCACGCAACACTCCTGAGCGCAAAACGTTCAACTCGGAATGGAATTATAAAAATTGAAGCACTGAAGCAAAGACTTGCTGGCGCGGCTCTGGGAAATCGAGTCCAGGCAATTGGAATATTTGTGAAATAATGCGGATATATGTAAGATGACGCGCACGTGGCATGAGAATGAATGTCAAGAGTGGCTGATGGGTTTTTAATATTATTTCACAAGATTGATTTTAACATCTGACTGTAGTACAGTTCCCTGACTATTACAGCTCCCTAATTACAGTATAGTACAGTTCCCTGACTGTAGTACAGTTTGCTCTGTTAAATATTGCACGGAAATATTCTATTGAACTGAAATGCTAAATTAATATATAGTTTCTACCCCTTACACAGAAACTTTTTCTCTTCCAAATACTAATGAATTACCGACCATGATCTAGTTTGACTTGATGCAGTAGAAAAAAATTGTTCTTTAATGTGACAATCTGTAACGTTCATGTAAGAGTATTGAACTTTTCTTGCAATGTAGTAGTCAATAACGTTCTTGTAGTAATATTGTAACGCCAGCGACTTGTCATATGAGCTCTGATATGAGCCTGCAGTAAAAGCTGTGCTCGCTGCGGCATGCATGTTCTTCATATGCGTTCGTTGCAAGACTAAATTCTGTAAGCAACATCGGCGGTTTATCGGTGGCCATGCATGGCCGGTGATACGCCGGTGATGATTCAACTGTTATTTACAATTGGGTAGCAATGATTGAATTCTCGATATTCCTTATTCGATTCCAATGCTCGTATTTGGGCTTTTATGATGGTTCCAATGCTACTTGGATTCCTGACCTGAGTTCTGATGAAGAGCGCGCCTTCCTGTCGCGAGGTTTCACTGCCTCGCATTTATAACAAATATGCCTACTGAAATTTGGTAGGCGCGGGCCTATCAAGATATTTGGGTAGAATTTGTACTGAATCGAGTACGATATTGAAAATCTAGAAGGTATTGAATTGCTAGGAATTTATATATTGGTTGGTTTGCCGAAACATAAACACTTTGTCATCGATATTATTTAAAAATATGCTGGTATTTACACAAGCAATTCTTTCAGGTGGTCGCGCGTGACCGTGATGGAGGCAGCTGGGGAGTGCTGCACTACTCCCTCAGTGGGGACGGGGTCCCCCAAACCCAGGACCCCCACCCTCAGGATCCCAGTCCTAACCCCCACGATGATAATCTTAACAACAAAGCTACGAGACGTCAATATTTTTCCCAATCAAGATCATCGTCTCTGAGTAAACCCCATCAGCCACACTTGACTCCCATAGCAAAGTCGTCGTCACGACTTCTCCCGGTCTCTTCGTCGCTCGTCAGTGACATCGTCCTCGGTCTCGCGGGTCCGGCGCTTCGGTCTCCAGGGGCGCCGCCCCCCGCCGTCGCCCCGCCCTCGGTCTCCAAGAGCAAACACTGGACGCGTCGCCGGGCTGCCTTCTCCGTTGATCCCGAGTCCGGCACCATCTACGTGCTTAAGGTGAGCAGAACGGCAAACTGGTAAGTACTTCCGTTACGGTCCAATACTTTTCTTCAGTATTTCACGGAGTCATTCCACTAGGTACGGCACCATCTACGTGCTTAAGATGAGTGGAACAATTAACTGGTAAATACTTCCGTTACGGTCCAATACTTTCTTCAGTACTAGACCGAGTCACTGCACTACGTACGGCACCATATATGTACATGAAAAATAAATGCATTCCCATGTATTTTGAATTACTCGATTGACTCCGAACCGTAAGTACAATCCAACATCGCCTGGAAAATTGAAAGGAGCGTCCTTGCATTAAAAGATTCATAGGATTTAATGGTCATCTATTTCTCTTGCTTGCTGTCTCATTTTTCAAGTTGGCTGCATGTCCAATAAGAGTTTGTCCTGCTCGCACTCGAAACGCTCGTTAATCTTATTCGCGTTTGCCAGGATTCGAGTTCTATCGCTGACCACATTCGTTTTGTTGTCGATATTATTTACTTTATTCTATAAACTCGAGTGAATAGCATTCCCCCATCATCTCTGACCCCCTCCTCCCCCCGGGAATAGACATGCAGTATCCGCGCTTGTAGCGCCGCCAACGTTACTGGTGAAGTAATTGATCATGTTTCTGACGCTCCATGGACGCGGGAATTGCGTGTGGCGGCCATATTAATTTGTGGCTTTACGAGGTCCTCATGAGAGCGCCGGGTGGGATGACGTGGAATTGGTTAACACAAATGATGGCTTCGTCAATGGGAGGTTCCGTTGACATACAATTAGTCATTTTGAATTTTCGATTCTTATGCAGTTAGTTGTCATGACATTAGGCCTTATTATAGGAAATAAGAGTTCAAATATTCGTCTTAAATTGGGTGTTGCAATGAATTTGTTAACAATGCAGTTATAAAAAGCATTTATTTGCCTCAAAATCATACATTCTCGTTGGTTTTACATCTCAGAATTGATTATTCGAAGCAAGTTATTCATTTTTGCTGTTAATTGTTAGTTTCTATTTTGACTGCAGTTGCTCACTCACTCTGCGCTGACCTCGCCCGCCAAAAGCGATGTCTTAGCGAGTTTCTAGCTTCAGATAAAAGCAGTAACTCCTCTGAATGTAATTAAATCGCCAATGCTGGGGGCGAGATCCCGATTAAATTTAATTTCTATAAATATCGCAATGAATTCACAATTTCACATCTCACGCGAGCTCATGGCCATGTGAACGTGATCGCAATGACAACATTCGCTACTGTCGAGGTAAACCTGGAGAAAGTTATATGAGGCTCCCAGTTATGTGCTCTGTTATTCATTCTTATTCGCGTGTGGCGCAAAGTTATCGGTAAATTCTCAGTTATTTTTTGTTAATGCTGTTTTTTGCACTGGCTTATAACATAAAACCATACAGTGGTGATCAACGACCGAATTTAGAATGTATAGTTGCTGTTTAATAACCAAAACAGATCGCGAAATATTCCTCCGAACCCAGTTAAAAATCCAAGGTGTATCGCCGGCGTGTTTGGGTAGATTAAGGTAGAGACGCTCGGTTGGGGCGCCCGAGTAACATCTCCGCATCAGCGGCGAAATGTCCACTTTTTA